TCTTGGAAACCACAACAGACGCTGATATTGACCAAAAACTCGACCAAATGGTCGGGATACTCCGAGATGAGGGGACGAAAATGTGGCGGGCGCAAAATACCGGCAGGAGGGCGAGGCTTTCGGGGGAGTCTCTGCAGCTGATGAGGAGGCGACGTGAAAATCCAGCAGTCGCTTCGTCGGATCTTAATAGAAAGATCTCGAAGCAGGTAAGACGTGACCTTCGGTGCTCCAACACACGCGCTATAAAAGAAGCGATCGAGCGAAATCGGGGGTCAAAAGTTTTCATCCAGCAACTAGGTCGAAGCCATCTGACGAAGCTGACTACATCTGAGGGAAAAGTCGTCGCTTCTGGGCCGGAGATTCTTGCGGAAGTTCAGCGCTTCTACGGTGATCTATATGCGTCACAAGCACCCCAACCTCAATCATACTCGGGGGATCCCAGGGCCACACTTGTCCGCCACTTCACTGAAGAGCTGCCAGAGGTCAGCCAAGACGAAATCGTGGTGGCTTTGGGGCAGCTTAAAAATGGAAAAGCCCCCGGTGAGGACGGAATTACGACGGAGCTCCTTAAGGCAGGGGGAAAACCGATTCTCGAGCGGCTCCAAAGTATATTTAATTCCGTCCTCTTCACGGGAGAACTCCTAGGGTGTGGAGCAGAAGCATTGTCGTTATGTTCTTCAAAAAAGGAGATAAAACCCTTTTGAAGAACTATCGTCCTATTTCTCTTTTGAGCCACATCTATAAGCTGTTTTCCAGGGTCATCACGAATCGTCTCGCACGAAGGCTTGATGAGTTTCAGCCTCCCGAGCAGGCCGGGTTCCGAGGAGGATATGGCACCATGGACCACATTCACACGATGAGGCAGATTATACAGAAGACCGAGGAGTATAATCGGCCTCTATGCTTGGCGTTCGTGGACTATGAGAAGGCCTTTGACTCTATCGAGATCTGGTCTGTTCTGGAGTCCTTACAACGGTGCCAAGTCGACTGGCGATATATCCAAGTGCTGAGAGAACTGTACGAAGCTGCGACTATGGCCGTCCAAGTACAAAATCAGCAGTCTGAACCTATTCACCTGCATCGAGGAGTGAGACAAGGAGATGTTATATCCCCCAAATTGTTCACAAATGCTATGGAGGATATGTTCAAGACACTGCATTGGAAAGGACGGGGCATAAACATAAACGGCAAGTATCTCTCACACTTGAGATTTGCAGATGATATCGTCATCGTGGCTGAAACCGTTCAGGACTTGCAATATATGCTGAGCAGCCTGGCTGATTCTTCCGCGCGCATTGGGCTCCGGATGAATTTGGATAAAACAAAAATAATGTTCAATGAACATGTCATTCCGGAGACAATTGTTCTCAACGGGTCGCCTCTCGAAGTCGTTCAGGAATACATCTACCTGGGACAAACCCTGCAGTTAGGTAGGAACAGCTTCGAAAAGGAGGCCCGTAGAAGGATACAGCTTGGCTGGGCAGCATATGGAAAACTTAATCAAGTCTTCTCGTCTCAGATACCGCAAAGCCTGAAGACAAAAGTCTTCAACGAGTGCGTCCTTCCAGTAATGACATACGGAGCCGAGACGTGGACACTGACAGTGCGACTGGTCCACCAATTTAAGGTCGCGCAGCGAGCTATGGAGAGGGCTATGCTCGGAGTCTCTCTGAAGGATCGAATCCGAAACGAAGTGATCCGACAGAGAACCAAAGTTATCGACATAGCCCAAAGGATCAGTAAGCTGAAGTGGCAGTGGGCCGGTCACATTTGTCGAAGAACCGATAACCGTTGGGGTAAACGTGTTCTAGAGTGGAGACCGCGTCTAGGCAAACGCAGTGTAGGGCGCCCTCCAGCTAGGTGGAGTGACGACATCTGTAAGGTGGCTGGCAGTGGTTGGATGAGAAGAGCTGAAGACCGAGCTCAGTGGCGTGCCATAGGAGAGGCCTATGTCCAGCAGTGGACGAATACAGGCTGATGATGATGATGAATAGGGGGTGAGCCTATTGCCATATACCGGGCCCAATTCCAGACTTCGAGCTACTACTGAGATTTTTTTTAAAACCCAGTAATACATTGCCTGACCCGGGAATCGAACCTGAGACCCCTTGACAGCATAAAAAAATGATTCACATTCATAATATCTTAATTTGTGACAGAAAAAGACTACATTTTCTATAATTACTTAGGTTTATTCATTAAGCAAAAACTAGATTGTTCATTATAATTATTTCTTTTAACACTTCGTCAACCATTTTGACTAGGTACCAACTGACACCCACTAAAAAACAACACATCGTGTCAAAATTGCATTTTTTCACCCACAAGCTTTGCGTGACGCATATTTCATCGAAAAAACATATAAACACGCCTCCCGGCTTCCTCCCTACACCTTCCAACCCTCGGTAATAACGCCTATTGTAATTATGTGAATTAATACGATGCCATATGCTCCAACATTTCATTTTTTCAATTTGTCCGTCGTTTTTTCAATTGTACTGAGTACATTTGGTAACGCCTATCGTGAATTTATGTAATGATATTGTTATTGATACCCTGGCTGATACATTCGTCAAACATTTTAAAATATTTTTTCAAAGCTAAGTGTTTTCATATGTGAGTAAGTTGTAAGTGACTGCACGGTAGGTGCGGTGGCTGGGCAACCGGCTGCCATGCAACGTATCGCGGGTTTGATTCCCGCACGGAACAACACTTTGTGTGATCCACAAATTGTAGTTTCGGGTCTGGTTTTCATTGTGTATGTGTACTTGTATGTTTATAAACGCACCCACGACACAGGAGAAAAGCTTAATGTGGGGCAACTTTTTTTTTATTTATAAAAATGATTATTTTAGTAGGTAGAAAAAAACAGAGGACGGTGTCATCGTAGAAAAAAGTATCTAGGACTTTCTAATACCAATCTAGATAAAAAACAAAATAAAGGAATACTGTGAAGAAAGGCCATAGAAATAGGTCTAATAAAGTAGTCGTAGGTAGTAGCATTTCAAATGAAATCATAATATTCTCTTCTTATTATAAAAAGAACTAAAGAAATGAGAACCATTTTAATAAAACAAATAGCTTTGTTTATAAGTCGTTGTATAAGAATCGCTCGCAATATGTCGCCCGCGTTGAGTGCTAAAGAAATAGAATTCACGTTAAACTGTGAAAAGAGAATGCTGAATTAAAATTCACGTTGATATTTTATCCTTACTATATATATAAATCGGAAAGTGAGTTTGTTTGTTTGTTCCACTTTAACGCCGTAACTACTTAACCGATTGCTTTGAAATTTTGCAGACGTAAAGTTAGAAGTCCGGATTAAATAATAGGGTACTTTTTATCCCTGAAAAATTTGATGTTCCCGAGGGAAAACCAAAGTATTGGTATAGATGGCGCTGTGTGTATTGGTATATGTCGTATTGCCTTTTTATCCTTTTGTGAAAGCGAAGCCGCGGGTAAAAGCTAGTATTATAATATAATGCATAATAATATGAAAATATTTTAAAAGAAGTTGGAAAATTAATTTCGCTAATGTTGTTCGTTGTGGTTATGCATTCAAGTATTAGATTAAAGTGATATGAATGAAATATTGCGGGTTCATCCTTTTGATTGTAAAGGTTGGGTTGACTGTCGGGTTATCTGTTCTAATGTACATTTTCAAATAACTTTTTTAATATAACATCATGCCTTTTATCCCTGAAGGGGTAGGCACAGATGTACATTAGGCCACTGTACAATGTAACACCAACTTTTCACTATTTATGTTATGAGTTCTATGTTATAGGGGGTGAGCCTATTGCTAGAGGTATACTTGTCACAATTCCAAACTCCGTGCTGCTACGAAGAATAAAAAAAAAACCCAATAATACATTGCCCGACCCGGGAATCAAATCCAACACCCCTTGCCCGGCAATCGCACTTGCGACCACTCGGCCAACGAGGCAGTCTTTTCTTTTTTTTAGAAACTTTTTTAGAATGCTGTAAAAATAGCCTTTCGAATAAGGACCGTGTTTCAGACCATTCGACTCTTTGGAGTTTTAAAAAAAAAATTGTAACAGCGTGGAGTCTAGAATAATAATATTATGACTGGTATAAATTCAACCATTATTAAAAGGGACTCATAATATAACCGATGAAAAGAGGCCATTACGTTACATATAATGTGCATTAACACTCGTTTTTTGTTATAACACAGTTACATACAAGAAATTCATTTTTACTATATTATTTCTACTTAAAAAAATAACCACGTGAGCGGCGCGACGTCGCCGCGACCGCGCACGCTGCTCATGAGGAAGAACCCCTCTGTGGTTCGAAACTAGTAGAGCTTTTCTCAGTATGTTCACGTGAGTAACCCGCGATTTTAGTTAATTTAGTACTATGTCTCACGATAGTTATTATAAAAAATAACTACATTCGCAACCAAATTCTTTACTACTTTAATAATATAAGGGAAAATTAGTGAAACGATCCGAAAAATCACAATATCTGAACGAAAGCCACAGATACATATGGCAAATAATATACATTTTTTGCTTATAAGAAAAATTAACTATTATTCTTTATGTCCGTTGGAAATAGTCCAGCATTGGAACCACTTACTTTCATTATAGATACACTCTCCTTGATTGATATTGTATTGATATGATTTTTAGTAGTAGGTATAATGTTTGGTTTGTGTTCAATATCTTAGTGTTTTTATGATTTAGTTTTTACTATTATTTTATTATCTGTAGTCTTCGCGAGTTTTCGCAGCTGCTATTGAAATGGATTAACTGGAATTTGTTCTAAACCGAGAATGTTTTAATGCTCTTTTAGTTTGATTTAGGTAGTTTAAATATTATTGCCGTTAAATTCACAAAAACTTTTTCAATTTGCCTGAAACTTAAGAAACTTGTCATGTATTTAACTTTATTTTAATTAAATAAATGTTAAATATACGATGTTGTGAAGATTTTATTGTTATTATTCTAACCTATTTTTTTTTTCTTTTGCAGAAGATAGACGCATATAACCACAGTGGACCATCCCTGCAGACGTCTGCGGTGATCGCACTGTGCTCAATAGTGCTGCTCGTAGGAGTTCTTATCGGTGCCATCCTTGTTTGGAAGTAAGTGCCTTTTTGCTACGCTAATATCATTCTTCTGTAGTTTCCAGAAGGTATTATTTTTTTCTGATACGCCAACTTTTGCTAAAAATTTTATAAGGCAGTTCTACAATAGAAATCTGTTCTGTAACTGTTTCTGTTGCCAAATACTAGACGCAATCATAGATGCTAGGAAACTGAAACCTTCTTAATCCTTCTGCCTACATCACATCATTAATTACCTTAAACTTTATTACCATTTTCTATTACAAATAATCTCTATAAAACAATTTCGCTTCACTGCTAATCAGTCTTCAGAATAATTCCACAATATAACCAGCTTTAACCGGTGCGTGTCAACAATGTCTCTGACACTTTAATCGTTGAAGCCGTCGTCACATATGTGGGGAGGCAATGGTTTGAGAAAGTTGAATTAGAGTAGCTGTCACCTTAAGATTAAGGCGCGGACTTATTGTTGTGTGGAGTGATTGTCAAGCGGGCGTGGTAGCGGGTGTAAGGAGGCGTATTATGGAGCAGGTAGAAAGAGTTTGTATTGGGAAATTGGGCATGATTGATAAGTACAAAATTCAAACAAGCGAATAGAAATGGATGGATAAATAGGATAAGGATGACGACAATGATAACTTAAAACAGCTTAATACTCTATTTTATGAATTTGTTTCTAATAACGATACGGATGTGTTTCATTTTAGTATGCTTAATAACCTCAAGATAAAGCAACAGAATTACATACATGGAACGAAGTTTCGTAAGCCTCGTCAGCCGAGTGGTCACAAGTGCCGGGCAAGGGGTTTGGGGTTTGATTCCCGGGTCGGGCAAAGAATTACTGGGTTTAAAAAAAAATCAGTAGTAGCATGGAGTCTGGAATTGTGCCCGGTATATGGCAATAGGCTCACCCCCTATCACCCCTTCGGGAATAAAAGGCGTAATGTTATGAAGTTAAATACTCAGGAAAGTCAACCAACATAGAAAATGAAATTTTGCACCAAATAAATTCAACAAAAATGACTAATACTAATCCGAAACGAATATTTAGTATACACCCGCCACATCTCAGAAATTAAAATACCGAATGAGCTAATAATTACTAGTGTCACAATATCCTTGTCACCGCATCAGACTAGCGCTGACGGGCGGTCGGATTTAGAAACTGAATACCGTCGAGAAGCAGGCTTGAATTATGTTCTGTTAATTAGATGGTGAAGCGATTATAGGGGTCATTGGATTTGTATAAATAAAATTATAGGATTGTTGTGTTGAGCTTGAGTGGGTGGAAAGGATTTTTGGTTTGTGAACAGATTTATTGATTGCTCACTAGGAATATAAATCTTAGTTTAGTTTGGTACTTTTTGAGAAAAGTACCTGTCGTATAGATACTATATACATACATATATATTTTTTAATAATTCTTTAATTTGCTTCGTTGGCCGAGTGGTTGACTTGGTGCGACTGCCGGGAAAGGGGTCTCAGGTTCGATTCCCGGAACGGGCAAAGTATTATAGGGCTTTAAAAAAATCTTAGTAGTAGCACGGAGTCTGGAATTGTACCCGGTATATGGCGATAGGCTCACCCCCTATTACATGGGACTCATAACATAAATAGTGAAAAATGAGTGTTACTTCTGTTTGCAACTCTGCTTACCCCTTAGGGGTTAAAAGGCCTGATGTTATGTTATAATAATTTTTTAATGTATTTTGACTAGCAGTTTAGCCGTTTCTGTGTTAATACATGCATACTAAGTTACTTCAAGAGTATGAAAATAGAGGTACTTGTTTACATTTATACCAAGATAAAATCTTCCATTGAATACAAAAGACGACAAAGATACCTAAGAGCTACTATTTGTAAACATTTCTCCATTTTACCATCTCAACTCGTACCTTTACAAAACAGAAATATCTCAGTCACAACTGAACATTTCAAAATAAATAACACGACAAAGAAGAAACAATAATAAACGTCCCACTTTTAGTAACGGCTTAATTGTCCACCTATCTTCCTCCCTTATTCTCCTGACTGGAAAGACAAGGATGGAAGAACGCCCACATTGAATGGAGCACGCAATCTTGAAAGCCCAGCGAAATCTATCAAATAATGACAGCGGGAAGTTAGTTTGAAATAGATTCTAACAAATATAGCTTGGAGTTGAATGTTAGGGTTCTATCCTGTATTGAGAAGCGATAACATAATATGATATGAGCGATTTCTGTAGCTGTGACTAACTTTGTAGATATTCCGTACTTCGTTGTTGTTGGTTGTCACTACAAGTTCGACATGGTGAACAAGAGGTCTTTTTTTTTAAGGGGGAAAATCATCGAATTACTGCTCTCGCCTGGGTGAGGCGGGAGGGAATGTCAGACTCTTACTGACTAAAAACCACCCCGTCCCTTCTCCTGCACGTCTAGCCGGAGCCCCGGTTACCCGTTAGGTTCTCCGCGACGAATAAGAGGTCTTGTGTTCATTTGCGATTACCATTATTGAAGATTTTTAAGGGTTTCATAATCATAACTCATGTCTGAAAAATATATGCGTGAATCTTTATGTATACCTCTAATTACTCCTTTGAATAAAATACCCATCAATGTCCCCTGAAAGCTTAACCATTTCATTTACAAAAAAAAAGTCATAAAAGATACACAAAAAATATTCCACTCTGTCTAATTAAAACCAACCTCACTAATTAAATCAAAACAATGTATTCAAATCAACACTAAAATTAACGAGCACATAAAGAAAATAAGTAATTGTACACCGTCACACATGACACACGTCAACGTGAAAGAGGGTGGGCAGGATCTAACAGAAACTATCGAGTCACCGCCTTCCGTACCCAGCGAAGCAAGACGTCGGAAGTGTTCGGGATAGTTCGGGTTTCTTCGTTGTGTTGTGATTGCTAGTATCATGTGAAGACTGATGAGTTTATTGTGTCTGAATTGGTTTAGACATGAACCTAAGGTGAAGATTATTTTGTAGATAATAAACGAGTACAAGCTTTTTTGTCGTTTTTTCCTCATAAAAGTTCACATTCTACTAGATATAAACATCAATTAGACAACTAAGACAACGTAGTTACAAGTAGGCCCAAACTTCCATATCGGAATTCTTGTAGTAATATTTGGCTTCATTTTTTCGACAGCAGAACCTCCATATTATCTCGAATCTTAATTAACTCATGATGTTTGGAACTCCTTACTAAAGTGCATATTATGTTAGGTATATCTCCTATTAGAAATATGTATATTTTATATCTAAACTAGCGGATCCAACAGACGTTGTCCTGCATATCCACTTGAATGAATAAACAAAAAATCATTGAAATTAGTTCAGCCGTATAGGATAATAACCTAAACATCGACTGCAGCGCCATCTGCCGGGCTGATTCGTGAATCTAAACCATTCCCAGATCCCTTTGACACACTCAAAAAATTTCATCCAGTCTTTGAGAGAAGTTCAGTGACATACACACTCATAGAAGAATTATATAGAGGTATATAAAGATTACAATAGTGACAGGAATAAACCCTCCTTTCACAATAGTTCACATATCAATACAAAGTTCAAGAACCCCGACAAAGCAACAGCCTCAAAATCGCTTATCTTCAACTAAGGCACAGAACTATTTTAGAAACAATATGGTCGCCTGTGTTTATTGTTCATAAATCATGTGGAATGTCAATATTACATGGCTAAATCGGTAGCCCTGCGGTTACAGCGCCCTCTATGTAATCTGAGCGGAAGATAGCGTGAGTTCTCAAAGTTAACACGAATTATATTGGGTTCGATTTGATTTATTGGCGGTTTATTGATTTGCGTTGTACTTTTTGATGTTTAGGATATTTTGATAGGTTTTTGAACTTACCTCTAGAATAGGTACGTCAGCTGATATTACTAAATGAATTCTTACTTTTGTGTAACTAACTAATTTGGACTATTTTTTTAATTGCTAAAAGACTTTGTATAATTGAGGGAATTTGCATTTGAGTTGTAGCGATAGAAAATTAGCAAAATATCTTTCGCAATTTAAATAAATTTCTGTTTTATTTTTATTATTCTAGTACTGCAATTTTCTGCTTTTTATAATGTGGGCAACTTTAAAAAGAAAAAAAACACGCATATTAGGATTGTCCCCTGTGTCATGGGTGCGTTTACAAATATACAAGTTCACATACACATCACACCGACCCAAAACAACAATTTGTCGATCACACAAAGAGTTGTTCCGTGCGGGAATCAAACCCGCGATACGTTGCACGGCAGCCAGTTGCCCAGTCACCGCACCAACCAGTCAAACTCATAATATACACAATTTTTTTTACAAAATTTTACTTAAAGTTAATAGAAAGGAAGATACATAAAAAACACTTTGTAAAATGTTAATATACAATATATTACTTTCATACCCATACCGAGATAGTTTTATTTTAAAAACTTTGTAAACCGCACTTTTTCTCGAGTAAGTTAAAGGACTTGGCCTCAAGAAATTATTTACCGAGGCCAACAAACTAACAAGTCAAACTTAACATAATCTTTGTACTTCGCGGTTTTTATTATAAAACTTCTGTAAACTCTCACCTGCATATTAGCGGTTAGTTTAGCACTAAAAACTTATATTACTTAGTTTTAAACTTGCATGGAAAAATATGTTTAAGAAATTGTAGTGTAGTAATAGACAATTTTAGCATTTTCTACAAATACCAAACGAATATTGTTAGGTCATTTAGATTGAGCCAAAAGTGAAATAAGCCAATATATAGATAAATAGAAATGGAGTAGGATGTTTCTGATATTAAAATAACCGTTTTTTAGTTCGTGTATATGAATATACGTACGATACACATATCAAAATAACACTTTACAATTTATATTTGTCTATTTGTACTGGCTAATCTCGGAAATGGCTGAACCGATTTTGACGAGCCTTTCATTGGCGGTAAACTACTTTTATATTTATTAGAAAAAGCGCAGATAAAGTTACGGTTACAGTTAGGAGAATATAGATAAAT